AGATAGGGACATCGGAGTGGTCTGCCTTGAAGAACGAACTGATGTAAACTCGGTGAAAAATTCAATAGACGAAGCAGGCAGGGTGTTGATAGTGTGGCGAGAAGGAAAAGCGGTAGGAGCAGGCAAAATTACCAAATGAGCTTTGCTTTCGGCCTTCCATCCATGTAGGCAGGCGGCTGTAGCACGCGTTTAGTGTCAGCACAATGAGCAGGGGTTTTTTTTCTCAAAAAAAGCTCAAATATGCTTCGAAACAGAGCTGAGTGTTTGGATACAAACAACCATCACGGCGTATGCCTCAAACAAATGTCATTCAAACAACAAAACTTTCTACAAAAAACCCTAAGAACTCACTGAAAAATGAAACTTCGGACCAAAGATGAAATTATGTTTGCATTGTTACGGACCAATTAAACTATTTAGTAGGTTACACCTCACCAGATACCAATCGATGTGGATTTTGACTTCCACATATAAATGCACATTCTGAAACAGATCTCACAAAGTTTCCTGAGCAAACTTCTTTGCATACTGCATCACTGAGAATCATCCTTTTAGCGTAAGACATAGCGAGTTCCATTCGCGGTACGAGTACGGTGGCATCGAGCATAAAACTACTGCTAAGTAGGAAGGACGAAATTATTAATGCTCCAAACATGAGTGACCTTTAAAAGCGAAATCGGGAATTCTATGAGTATCTGAACTCTCCTTTTACTTGCACTGTTCCACATGGGCCACAAATTGAGCATCAACTTCCGGATGGAAGCAATGCCTTACTGGTTAATCAATTATTCTACTGAAATCGTTAGTTAGACAGTCGATGCTACGAGATGAAAGGCAAAACAAACAGTAAATATCAAGACGAATGGAATGGCAAAAAAAAAGTAGAAAAAACTGAAAGATGAATGTTAGTTTCCGATCAACAAATGACTAAACCAACGAAAACTGAAATTCCTGGATTTCCTACCTCCTGGTAATTCTTCAAATGGATGCATCCGTTTTGTCTTTTGATTATAGTCGCTGTTCCTTTCGTTTATGTCTGGTTCCTTCAGGAGATGCTAATTAATCCGGTTTTCAATTTTCCATATTATGCACGGAACATAGAGGAACAACTTGCTTTTACGCACTCCCTACATATTTTTAGGTTAATCCTGAGAATTGCAACACAACCAGTAGATGTCCAAGAAAAATTACTTTCTCGTTTAAACCTGAACTCTTTCCTTTTCCCGACGCTCGCCCTCCATTCTTCAACTCTAGGTATAATGAAAGTCGTAACACATGTAATTTTTTTTGCAGAGTATTTCAGACGTCTTAAGTTCACGTGAGTAATGTCTGACATCAAGTTCAGGATGCAACGTTTAATTCCTGGATAAAAATCCAGGTCTCTCAGACTTAATTGACTTTTCTTTCTAAAAATGAAAAACAATACACCGTTTTGCACCACATGATCTATGCCCAAAGAGTACAGTTGCACTCCATCTGTTGCATCGCAAACAAATCATTCACATGCTTCAGGAATGTCCATGCAACGCTGCATGCACATTCCTGAAGGCTAAAAAACACATAAAATGATCTTATATTGCATTTAGTGAAGTGGTTTGGCGAATGAATTATTCCAGATCCAAGAAGTAGTTTCAGGCTGCGTTATTACTACCATCCCGATACTTCTGTTTGAGAGGGAAAGTTGCTAAAAAAACTGCAACTATTTCCCTCCCAAAACTCATCTTCCAATTCTGTAAATTAACGTTAAAGTCCATAAAACATAATCTAGTAGCAACGATTTTATTTCACAGTGGAAGGTGACTAGCTATTAGATCTGGTCTAGTAACAAAAACTTTAATCCTGAATTCGTTTTAAGAGCGAAAATTTGACACTAAATTCAGAGGGAAAGAAACCTAATGAAACAAATGTGGGAAGTTTCCCTCAGTTGAGAAAATGTTTGATGTAGGTGATGCATGCTTGTTGAAATTTAAAATAGTGACAGCGAAATTACACTGAGATGGTACTTCATGGCACATTCTGGCTAACAGTTTCATCAGTGACTTTCTTCAAACATAACTAACGTTTCTTTTTTTTTTTGAATAAACCGATGCATTACAATTACAGTCAACAACGACTGCATTTGACTGATACAAGATCAATGAAAAACATTTACGAACATTAGGTCAATAAATCAGTAATATAAAGAATCTTTGGACTCATGGATCTTTTAATTAAATGTGCTTTTGTTCGAAACTGTTAGCTTAATTTTTTGACTTGTATTACATTTCATTTCTAA